TTTATTCCATATGTTTTCTTCCATAAGTATTGATGATTGCTGGCTTCTCCGTGAGAACAGATTCTTGTTTCATTCTTGTTTCCCATATGTATAAAAAGTGCTTTGCAGGCAACAGAGATTCAGTAACTACCATCGTTGGTCGGTGACTTGGCGGTGAGTGGCTGTGAGACAGCTGCGTGCTCATCTATACTGATCGAGGCCCATTTCCGGGCATCAGCCATTTCTGTGGCCAGCTGGTGTTTGTAAGCTACTGGGCATGGAAGAGCAATGCCTGGTTTGCCGCGGACCCTGATTCGAGATGAATCCTTCCCTAAAGTCCCCTTCTTTGTATTCAAACAACAGAAAATCCATTTGTATTTTTCCTTTCATACTTTATTCTTTGTGTAATTTAGAAACTTTTTTCCAACTCCTGAATAATGTATCTTTTAAACCAGCTAAAAGGCTAACAATAACACGTAGTTATAAATAAACATTTCAAACCACACAGAAAAGGTAAAGTGAAAAGTAAAATAATCATCTCCTCACATTCCAGTTCAACTGTTCATAAATAACTACCGTTAATATGCCTTGTGATAGCAGATATCTGCAATACATAGAAATATGCATATATGTCTCACCAATTTGTTAGACTTCGTTTATGTTACAGAAATACATATTTTATTTTATTAAGTAGATACAAAATATGCTTTATAATTTGTTGTTTGAGAATACTTTTCATTTTATATATTTGGGATTCTCAGAATTTCCTTTATGGCTTATGGGTATTAGATCATGTTTGCTGGATAAAAAACAGGTTTTTTAACCTGAAGATAAAACAATGTCTTAATCAGAATTTTCTGCTCATTTCTAACCACTAAATTTCTTCATATACTTAGAGAAGTGGAAATTTTTTAAAAATCCAGATATTCTGGGGAAGAGTTTTAAAGATTTCTTTTTTAATTGTATTGGTAGTGGTACCCCTTTTACTAGCCTATTACGCTACATGCAGTATCACTTCCTAGGAAAGTGTTAGTTCTGTGAACAGCACAAGAAGTGAATTTGAAATGGACGGGTCAGTTCCAAAGAGTTCGATGACAGCATTCTTGAATTCCGGCTCCTTGCTTAATAGCCTAGGTGAATTGCCTAATCTCTCTCTGCATTATTTTCTTTATAAAACAGCCTACTTTATAGAGTTATTATAAGACTAACAGTAATATATGAGGCCTGAGAGAGGGCAATATAAGTTGTAGGTTTGGTGGAGCTTTCTGGGTTTGGTTTTGTTTGGATTTTTGAGACAAGGTCTCGCTGTATAGTTCAGGCTGATTCTGAACTAATTATGTAGCGCAGGCTGGCCTCAAACTTGTGGCAACCCTTCTGCCTCAACCTCCTGTGGCTGGGATTACAGGTGTGCACCACCACGCCTCGCTGGCAGTATGTTTAAATTCAAAGCCATATATGCAAAATTCAAAATAACACATTAAAAGCACAATACATAGCTACTAAGAAGCTTTTAAAATATTTACTTAGGGTAAGGTTAGTCAAAAGCAGTATAACTTTTATTATTTACTTTTGTGTTTGAAAATAGTTTCAAGCTGACAGAAAAACTTCAAACTTAAAAGTTGCAAGACTGTCAAAAGAATTCCTGTACTTCTGAATTCATCCATTGCTAGTGATTTTTCCTTTGTGCTTTTACCATTTTCTCTGTCTCTTTGAGCATGTGTAGATGTAGACAATCTTTTTTTTTATTTGGCAGAACAGGGGATTGAACTGAGGCCCTTGCGCTTGCCAGGCAAGTGCTTATTCTACTGAGCCATCTCCCTGGCCCTCATACAATCTTCTTGAACCATCAGAATTTTTACATACCCTTTCATTTTACCCTGTATACTTCAGTTTATATTTTCTAAGAACAAAGAAAGCCATTCATTAAAAAAGTATAATAATCAATTTCAGAATATCTAACAGACGTACTTTTATCTGACCTACCATCTACAGAGAAATTTTTTCACCTGACTCAAAATGTCCTTTTTAAGCATTTTTCCTTCTATACAGGATCCAGCATGATGTCACATACTACATTTAGTTGAGAAACATATCCAAATTTTTCAGAATAATCCCATGGAAATTGTTTTATACCTACATTTATGTAATCCATCTTTGTCAGTTAGCAGCTGGTATTTGACAGTAACTTCCTATAGATTGAAAGCTACTGTTTGTGCCCTGTTGTCTTGAGGTACCTTATACTAAAATCATCCTTTCATTCTGCAGGTCACTTAAAAACTTGGACTTGTACCATGGAACCTGGTAACACAACCTCTGGCAACACACAAAAACCATCATCTTCTAGCTACAGCTTTTGCCAGCACATTTTTCTTTACAGTTGGCTTTTGATGCAAATGGCATTAAATGCAATTTTTAATGTTGTTTTCTTCTACTAGGTGTATTTGCAGAGTATGTTTTGGTAAAAGAAAAAAGTGTATCTTTTGTTACTTCATGGTGACCAGAAGACTGATAGAAAATTCAGAGAGTCTATAACATTTCTATGCCAGAACAGGCAACTGGCTTTGCAGTAGATTCTACAAGTGGGGAGCATTCAGTATTCCATAGTGGGGGAGTAGGGGACACTTTTGCCAAATTGTAATCTAAAATAAAATTAATTGGCTACTGATTGCCTTTACTATGTTCTCAAATGGAAAGTATTTAAATCATCTCAATAAAGCATTAAAAGAAAAATAGCTGCAAGCTTTCTCTCTGTAGAATGCGACTATTAGAAAGAGAACATTTTCTACTCTTTCAGTGGCTTTTCAAATGCTGACTAGGCATTTGGCTTAGCCTGTCAGTGTTTGTAATAACAATTTGATCTAATGAATGTCAAAGGAGGGCTCACACCATTCTTCGGGCCTGACATCTTTCTGCAGAGCATTTACAGTATCGTGTGCAAAAGCATGTGGGTTCATTGACTGCTGCTGAAAATGGTGATGATGGGTGGTGGCCATGCAGTCTCTTCCACACAGGTACCCAAGATTTGCTAGGAGGCTTGCAGCCTTAAGAGGGAGAGAAGGAGGAGATTGGTGACCTGTGGTCCCTGCCATAAGTACAGCTGCCTAAGGCTGGCCCAGTTTTTTGTCTAGTTCTGTTATTATGGAACAAGTTTTCCTTCATGGCTCTTGTCTTCTCTTCATTTATGATCTATGCATTTGTTGTAAGCGCTGTCTGAGGACTTTCCCAAATAGCACTGTGAATATGTTGCTTACTTTAAGTGGGTATACTTTAGGAGTCCTCCGTGGGTCTGTGGCATAAAGGTTTAGAATTCATCTTCTATCTGAACAGCCAAGGGGTGCTTCCAAACCAATAGGTTAGCAGCCATAGAGAAAGCTCTTTGGGCAGACACGTTGGCCCCATGGCACAGTGATGCTTGGGTAAGGGAAAACACAGGCAAATCATAACACTAATTTTAAAAACAAAAAGCAATTCTCTGGAAGAAAAAGCAAGAATTTTATATATTTTCCTGCTCTCTTAGTGTCTCAGGTTCTTGTAGAGCTCTTCATTTTTAGCCCATGGAGTAGTATT